AGGCTGCCAAGGGAAGAGAGGAAACAAAAGACTTCCCCCTGCTAGGACAATGAGCCTCCCACTACCTCTCCCACCCTTCCACCGCCTCCCCCCACCCCCAATCTCACCCTTTTAGCTCTGGCCCCAGCCTCTTTACCTCCCTTCTCTCCACCTCCTTGCCGTCTGGTAGACTTAGCCTGTGCTGTGAGCTCTGCCCTTCCCCTTCCCTCCTTCCTATCAGCTCCCACTGATGCTTGCTCCCAGTCCTAGCTGTTTCAGTCCCCTACTATTCCATCAGTGCTCAGGATCCCTTCCTCTGTCCCCAGCGCCAAGATAAGGGGCTGGATGGGCAAGGCTCTGGTGAATGTTAGGGGGTAAATCACACCCCTTTGATGGCTAGTGGAAAGCAGATGCTCTAGGGAAAGACTGCCGGCCAGAGGGAGGGAAATGTCCTCTGCCTGGCCTGGGTGAGACAGGAAGAAGGAAAAGGCCTTAGAGATGGGGCTGGAAGGCCGTCGGGGTGCTGAGCACAGTGGAAGAGCACCCTGGTGGAGTCAGGCCGACCTGTTGACTACTAGTGAGTGCATTGGACAGTTCACTTAACCTTCTAAGGCTGTCCCATTTTTAAAGTGGATGCCTCTCTAACAATGTTCTTGTGATGATTTAAATACGTTTGCTTAACAAAAAAGGTGAAGCAGTAAGATTTTCTTGTCTTCCCAATCTATATAGTCTCCATACCCCAATTCTAACTCCCCACAGCTTCCATCACCACATATGCAAAAACTCCATAACCTGCATCTCCAACCAAAAAGCTGTCTCCGAGCTCCAGACCTGAATGGTACACAGGGATCTCAAACTCAGCATGCTCATCATCTTCCTCCCCCGTGTTCCATTTTACTAGCTCCTATCATAGCTGCCAGAGTCTAGAACTTGATGCATGCTTGATTTCAGTCTCCCTCACCCCCACAGCCAGGTTCCAAGTCCTGCCTGCTCTAACTCCTTAACATCTCTTGAATGCTCCCCCAACACACACACACACCCCACACACACCCCCATGTGGGGTCAAACTCTCACTGTCATTTGGAGAACTGCATTTAGTTTCTCTGCCTTTAGTCTTGATCCCTTTCAATCTATTCTCCAAAATTGTATACGTGGGGTCTTTCTAGAGAAATCCACAGCTGTTGTTCCTTTGCCTAAAACCCTTTGGTGGCTCCCAAGGTGTTCAGGACAAGGCCAAACTCCTGGAAGGTCCTGTAATGACTGAGGCTGGCCCTTGCCCACCTCTCCGACTTGTCCACTGTCACTGTCCTTGTACTCTACACCCTGGCATTGTGAACTCTGGCAGCTCCAGGACAATCCACTATGTTTATGCTTTTGTATCTGCTCTTCCTTCTGCCTTTAAAGCAACCTTTCCTGCCAGTCTCCTCTAGGACTCATTCGGACAGCATCATTTTCTCCAGAAAGCTCACCTTGACCCTGCAGACTGGATTAGGTATATGCTTCCACCTTTTATGCTCAACATATAGTCTCGTGTGTTAGAGGTTTCATGGCTATTTCTACCCCTGAACTGTTAAGTCCTGGAAGGCAGGACTGGGAACTTTGTGTTCCCAGTCCTGGCCCATAGTAAAATGTCCAATAAATAATTGCTGAATGAATTAAAGAATGACTAGTCAATAAAGAATAGTTAACAAATATTTACTGAGTTTTTACTATGGGCCAGACCTGTACTGGATTTACAGTATATGTTGAGTATATGTTGTACCTGATTTCATGAAATTTAGGGCCACACACAAGTAAATACATAATCACTAATAAATTAATAAAGGCTTTTATGTGCATGTCTATTACAACTTTGTATACGATGAGTTTAGGAAGATTTGTGGTAATCAGATGAGGTATGGATTCAGGTTTTATGAGTCCTGAAGTTTATACAATTTGGGGAACCCTTATTAAGAAAACAAAAACAAAATTATGAATATAAAATTAGGTATATAACTTAATGTTTATTTAGATTGAGAAATCGCAACCAGTTGCAAATGTTAAGGTGACAAATACCATAAATAATACAAAAGCTAGATAAATAACATATTTGTAGTAAATAACTGCTCGATACACCTCTATAATACTTTCATGTCCTATCTTTTTTCTTATATGTGTACTCTTTGACCACCTCTTCATATGATAATGATTTTGTATTATTTTCTGTTCTCTCTATTATATCTCTGTCTTCCCTCTAGTATGGCCAATTTTTTTCTTTCATTATTGAGAATTTATAAAAGTCTCTTTTAGCTTTACAACTCATTATTTGTAAGGTCAAAACCTCTATCAAATTCCTTTCCTACAAGAGCTATAAGATTTCAGTCCATTTCAAACGTTCTCGTGCTGTGACTCAATTTAAAAATTGTTTAAATTGATGGCATTCATTAACCAAGGTGGGAGGAGCCGGGCAGGTGAGGGGTGCCCAAGTGTAAATTTTAAGAGCTTCTGGGTAAACTTAACTCTAGACTTGACAGGGTTAAGTGGGCCAGACAAGGGCTGGGATATGGGAAGAGGAGTGACAATTTCTACAATTTATGGTGAAAAGAGATGATTTGTTGTTTGTTTAGTATATACAGGAGAAGTCCTAACTTCAAGACTGCTCCAAACAACTGTAATGATGTGGATAGCAAAAAGAAAACCGTACTAACTGTTCAGGGTGTGTTCCACACAGGTACTGTCATGGCAATGAGTGATAGCAGCATATTGATCATGGGCAGGGGGTGGGGTGACATCCTAATATTTGGGATGGGAGGGCCATGAAGTACCTTAAGTGCTCTAATAATGAGGAAAGGAGGGCCTGAGATTCGTTTGGGTCAATCCAGACAGTGACATGGATGCTTACCTGTGTCATGTAGTTCAGTGGATACTGAATTAGTTTGCCTAGGAATGGTCCTGGGTGGTCAGAACGTGGTACGAAATGACCTCATACTCACATGATAGACCGAGGGTGATTCCTGAGCATTGCAGTGAAAATCTCAGATATCATCTCCATGGAAAGGGGAAATAAGGGGATTTCCACCAGATTATAAAATCTTTTGAGGCCAAATCTTGCAAACTATCAATAGCACAATGATCACCTGGCACATAGTACTCAATTAAGGTTTCATTTTATTCATTCTTTTATTGGTATACACTTGGTACTAGAAACTGGATTACATGCTAAAGGGTGGGAACTGAGGATTCAATGATATGGGATCTACTGGTTATCTTCTTACCTAAGGTGCTCTCTTCTTTCTAGCTGAGGGGGCCTGATCCTCAAGGGTCAGGAATACAGGGGTCAAATCTGCAGTGAGCTATTGATTGTACCATTTCACCTCTCTGTCCCATCAGGCTCTCTCTCTACTTTTCAGGCCGTGCACCTTCCCCCCACTCCATAATGGTGAATCATGAGTCATACTTAATGCTGTAGCCCCGCACCACCACCACCACCACCACCACCACCAAATGAGAAAATTCAAGCAGACCCCAGGAGAAGACAGAGACAAGTTTTAGAGGAGAGAATCAGAGTGAAAGCAGAGAAAGGTAGGGGTGGAAGGAGTGTAACCTGCAGAAACTGAATAAGAGAAGGGAGACTGAGCTTGCATCAGGGAGGGAGGAAGGTATTCTCAGCCTCTGCCTGGTCTGCCTGGCTCCAGTCAAGCAGGCTGTTTCCTGCCCTCTGTGACCCCCCACCCCGGAGCAGGACCCAGACAGGGCAACAAGGAAGGACAGGGGTGTGGGGAGCACCACTTGTGGCAGGAAGATAAGTGAGCTGGGAGAAGAGGTCATTGCAGGCCTGGTCGTCCCCCTCGGGGTGGGGGATGGAGGGGTTGGGGGTTGGAGGTGCTTGGCAGCCCCCCAAGCATCAGGGACTTCTCCTTCCCTCTTTCTTGGCTACTTAGCTCCGACAAACTCTGTCCCCCTTAAATGCTTTCTGAGTCTAAGCTCTTTCCTTCCAGCTCTTGCACTTGAGGACTCACTCCTACAGCACCCTCCATCTACCCCATGACCCACACTAGGTGCTCTGACATAGAAGCGGGCTGGTGGGAGGTGCATTGCTTTCCTGGACCCTCCCCTCTAACTGATGGGATGGGGGTGGTGTTGGCAATGAGAGGAAGGGCCCTCCCAGCCATCCCGAGGGTCCCCAGGAGCCAGACAGGAAACAGCCTCAGGAAAGACAGCAGCAGCTTGGGCCCCAGCCCCAGCTCCAGGGGTCAGGGCTGCGGGCGGCGCGGAGCTCTCCCAAACGCGACAGAGAGAATGAGGGCGGTGATTTGGAATTCCATCCGGACCCCTCACTCGCTTGGACCCACCTACCTTTTATTTATCTTTGCTTCCTAGACTTTTCTGTACCTCTCCCCATCTCAACCCAGTTGCTTCACTCCCTCCCCACATTTTTCAACGCTAGGTTGCGTGCACAGTGGGTCCCCAATACTTAATGTTTGTTGAATGATTGTGTGAACATTCGCTCCAGGGTTCTCTAAGCTGAGATCGCTGCCTTGGGGCCCGCTGGGCCACCCTCCATCCTCAAAAGCTTCCCCAAAACACGGCCCCCTGCGCCAAGTAGGGGTAGTGGGCGCATCCAGAAGAATCCAAGGTCCTCAGGAAAATGATGCGCACCTCTGTACGACCCTCGGTGCTGCTGGGTGTGCTTCTCTGCTCCCTGGTGTCTGCCGGGTTCGGGCCTGCCCCGGGGGTCCCTGGGCCCCAGCCCGGACACGCTTGGTCTCGGGCAGGGAGCACAGCCACTGTGCACGTCTGGGCGGTCCCCGGGCTCCGCGCCCGCCGCCCCTCCCCCCTCTCCAAACTTTCTCCCAACTTCCCGACCAGCTCCACTCTGCGCCCCGCTCCGCTTCCCTCATGAATTATTCAGCAGAGCGCGTTCCAATCAGCGCGTCCCGGCCCCCTGACCGAGCCCGGGCCGGGGGCGGCTCCCCCCGCCCCCCGAGCGCCCCTCCCTCTCCGGCCTGGCACCGCCCGGCCCAGTCCCAGCCCGGCCCAGCCCCAGCCGCCCGGCCCCGCTCCCCTGTCTCCCTCCCTCCCACTCTGTCCCCGCTCGGGCTTCCACCCTCCCCGCCGGCGAGGAGCGCATTCGGCCCCGCGGCGCAAGCAGCGCCAGTCCAGGGAGGGGGGGAGACCGCGCGCAGCAGGCCCACCCCCAGCCAGCCGGGGCGGGACCCCGAGGCCCCGGAGGGACCCCGACTCCAGCCACGTCTCGCTCTGCGCCCGCCCAGCGCGTCCCCTGCAAGGACGCCCCCTCGTCTGCCCGCCCTTGCGTGCGGCGGAGACGCGGGGCCACACCTGGGCGCCGCTGCCCGGTGCCGGGCGTGCCCTCATGGGCCCACGCTGAGGCCCCAACCGAGAGTCGCGCGCGGGGAGTCGACGTCTACGCGCTCAGGGAGGGTTCAGACCTGGGGGGGCTAGCGCCCCCCAAACTCGGATCGGATCCAGCTGGAGTGAGGCGGCGCCATGGAGCTCCGGGCTCTGCTCTGCTGGGCTTCGCTCGCAGCCGCTTTAGAAGGTGAGTTTCCTTGGGGGCATCCCGCCACTCCTGGGACCCCCAACGTTGGGCCTCGGAGTGGAGGGGCCGAACTCTCTCTACCCCAACTTTGAACACTTCGGACCAATAGTGCTAGACCGGGTGGGGGGCGGGGAGGAGGCGGCCCAGCGGGGAGTGGAGTTTTCTTTTGTTTGGGAAAGAGATAGAGCAGGGCTCCGTCCCGGGACGTGCCCCTTCCCGGACTCGCCAAACTCTTACTTCTAACTCCAGGGACGCCCTTGGCAGCCTTTCCTTTTCGTCCTACTCCGATCTTCAAAGCTCTCTCCAAAGTTTCTGTCCCTCTTCCCATCTCCTCCAAACAGGAGGAATAATTTCTGGAGGAACAACTGCCGACAAGGTAGATCTTTGTGCTAGGCCATAAGCTGCCTCCATCCCTCATTCCTTAGCATTCACACCTTGACCCTAGGATTCCACACGCCTCTGTCAGGATGGCCACCTACTGCACTCACACTCCCAACCCCCCAAATCTCTTCCAAAGCCACTGCCCCTGCCGCAGAGAGGCCCCTTTCATGGTTCCCCAGGCTGCACCCCAGCCCTTTAAATGCTTTCTTTTCTAGACCCCAGCGCTACTCAAGTTCTAGACAAGCTGGCATTCTTCCAACTGTAAAGGCCAGCAGAAACTGACCTGTGTAGCCCCTGTGTCACCCTAACTCAGCCCAACGACAACCTTCTAGTCTCTCTAAATTTCTAATTTTTCTGTATCCTCCCCCAAATGTTCCTTCATCCATGAGTCTCTCCCCTCTCCTCACCCCCTAGAGGGGGAGCCCTATAAACCCTCCTCCTAACGGCCCTAATCTCCTTTCAATGAGCTGCCTCTCCCCCTCCTTCATTGCTTGGGATCAAAGGGGTCTCTGGGGAGGGGACCGTGGGGGGGGGCTCCTGAGGAGGAGGAATCAAAGGCAGTTAGAAACCCCTTTCCCCCAGGCTGGGTAGTGCTGCTCTGGGCTGTGGATCAAAGGCTGGGTGTAAGGAGAGGGGAGACTGGTCTGGCTCAGAGAAAGAAGGGGAAAGAACTGTGGGAGAGAGAAAGAAAAAGAAAGGCAGAGCAGAGAGAGAAAACCCACCAGGACAAAGTGGGGTGAGAGGAATCACTTCTAATTCCTGTTCCCAAAGTGCTTTCCAAGCTCCAGGCCAGTGCTGAGGGCTTTATATTTCTTGGTTCCCACAGCCCTAGGGATGGGAGGGATTGTTGTCCCATTTCACAGGTGAGGAGCCTGAGGCTTGGAAGAGTTAAGTAATTTATCCAAGGCCATGGGCCCCAGTGAAGGTTAAAGGTGGGAAACAGAAAATGGAGGAGAGAGACAGAAAGAGAAATGGGGGAGGACAGAGAGCTGGGGAGAGAGAGGTGAGAGGCAAGGGAACTGACAGATCAAAGAGAGCTGGAGGAGGGGGGACCAAGATAGGGTGAGAGAAAGTGAGCTGCTCAGAGTGCAGGGGACTGCCCTGAAACAGAGACAGTGTGTAAATTGGAGACAGGAAAACACTATCCAGGCTGGAACAATGGAGGGTGGAGACGGCAACCTCTATCCACCCCCTTCCCAGAACCCGGGCATCCTGTCCCCAGCATGCTGAGCTGTCTCCCACCACCCATGGGGGCCAGGGGCTTGCCAGGGGTCCTGCCTGACCCCTTGACCTCATAGACATCCCTTGGTCCCTGGGAGGAGGCTGCCCTACCCATCTGCCTTCCCTTCTCCAGCATCTCCCATGGGGGAGAAGGAGGCCTAGTCCCAGGTGTGCTGCTTGCTGCCTGGGGGTCCCTATTCTGCTCCTCCCAGGGCCAGCCTCCAGGCCCCCCACATTGCCCTGGCCTCCAAGGGGATTCCCCTACCCTCCCTCAACTGCCAGGGCCTGTGCAGTTCTCCTAATCCCCCCCTTCCGCCAGAGCAACCCGCTGCTCCCCCGACGCCCTTCCCCCAGGCCTAGCAGAGCCAGGTGTGTTCACTCCCCCCCATACACACACCCCTAAAGTCTCCTCCCCTTTTCCCTCCTGTAACCAAATCCAGATGTGAGGCCTCTCCTGGCAGGGACCAGGGTGGGAGGGAACCCAAGCGTCCTGGCCTCCAGCACTTCCTCCTTTGACAGCAGGGAGCTAGGGGGGAGGGGATGGGGGTCAAGGCTGAGCCTCAGGAGCTGAGCACCACCTTCCAGGATCTGTAGGACTGGGGTGTTGGGTCCCAAAAGGGGGTGGGGACACGGAAGAGGAGTTGTGGGGGTGGGGGGCAGGGAGGCAGCAACTTTGGGATTGGGGAAGGGACTGTGGAGGCTGAGGCAGGCTCAGGCCCAGGCCGGTAGGTAGGTAAGGAGCGGTGTTCCCTTGCCTGCAGCCTTTTGCCCACCACTGGGTCAGGGCTAGGTCAGGGCTCTAGTTTAACCCTTTCTGAGCTGTATGCTCTTCTCCCCTTCCAGTGTTTGCTTCTCCCCCTCTAGGGCACGGTGTTCACCTAGGCCGAGATCTGGGAGTCCTGAGGGGGCAGCGTGAGACTGCCAGCTGTTAGGGGTGGGGTTGACATTCAGAAAAAGAGGCCAGAAACTGGGAGAGGGGGTGCAGAGGGCGGGGCTCGCTCCCCTCCTCCTCGTCTCAGCCTGCCTGACTCCAGCTTGGAGTTAAGAGGACCCACCTGTCTCTGTTCCCAGGGATCTGGTCTTCCTGGTGTCTCCCCCAAACACTGACTGACTGTCTGTCTGTCTGTCTTAGAGACCCTACTGAACACAAAATTGGAAACTGCTGATTTGAAGTGGGTGACGTTCCCTCAGGTGACGGAGGGACAGGTAAGAGCTGGGCCCAGGAGCTGGAGTTCAGGAGGGAAACAGGGATGAGGGAGGGGCGCCAATGCTGTTTAACTGCCCTCCTAGATCACAGCAGTGGGAACAAGTGTCCTCTGAGCTCTTGCTCTCAGAGGTCCCTTCCCCCAGTCCCTTCTGCTTTATGACAAATACCTTCCCACTGACCTTCACTCCCTTCAGCAACCCCCACACTGACCTCCTTTTCCCCACAGTGGGAGGAGCTGAGCGGCCTGGATGAGGAGCAGCACAGCGTTCGAACCTACGAGGTGTGTGATATGCAGCGGGCCCCAGGCCTGGCCCACTGGCTGCGCACCGGCTGGGTCCCACGGCGAGGTGCTGTCCATGTCTATGCCACGCTGCGCTTCACCATGCTTGAGTGCCTGTCCCTGCCCCGGGCTGGACGCTCCTGCAAGGAGACATTTACCGTCTTCTACTTCGAGAGCGATGCTGACACGGCCACGGCCCTCGCACCAGCCTGGATGGAGAACCCCTACATCAAGGTACCCAGGCACCTGAAGCTGGGGAAGCCTTGTGGTCTAGAAGCAACAGGGGTGAACAGCCAAGGCCGGGGGAACTGGGTGCTGGAAGCAGGAGCCTCCGGTCTGGAGAGGGAAGAGAAGGTGGTCTGCTATGTAGAACAGCAGCATGCAGTTGGGCTGCCGGCCTGGCCCTAGGGGAGGCCCTCTCAGTCATTCTACTCCACTATACTTGGGCCACCCTACATTTCTCCCTTTCTCTTACTACCCCTCACCCTGGAATGCCTTCTGTCTTCCTCTTCTACCCACCTACTACTTGTCTTCTAAGTTCTAGTTGAAGGTCTCTCCTGGGATACTTTTGCTGAGGCGTCCCACCCTGGGGTCCCACCTGTGGTAGCACTTATCATACTTTATAACTTATCTGTGTTTCCTTCATTTGTTTCCTCGGCACTGAGTTCCGGACCTGGCATAGAGTAGGTGCTGATAAATGTTTGTAGGATGAATGCATGAATGGAAAGGGAGTATAGGACAGAGGCTGGACATATTGTAGGAGCACAGCAAGTATTCATGGACAACGTTGGGGCCTGCAGGAAAGTGGAAGGAAGGTTCTGGAACAGGAACCCAGGAGGTCAGGGAGAGAATAAGCTAGAAAGAAGATAGTTCACTGGGTCCTTGGGTAGTAGAGAATAGCGACAGTGAGTCTCTTCTCCAACCTGGCAGGTGGACACAGTGGCTGCTGAACACCTCACCCGGAAGCGCCCTGGGGCTGAGCCGACCGGGAAGGTGAATGTCAAGACACTGCGCCTGGGCCCGCTCACCAAGGCTGGCTTCTACCTGGCTTTCCAGGACCAGGGCGCCTGCATGGCCCTGCTGTCCCTGCACCTCTTCTACAAGAAGTGCGCCCAGCTGACTGTGAACCTCACCCGCTTCCCGGAGACTGTGCCTCGTGAGCTTGTGGTGCCTGTGGCAGGGAGCTGCGTGGCTGATGCCGTTCCCGCCCCTGGCCCCAGTCCCAGCCTCTACTGCCGGGAGGATGGCCAGTGGGCCGAGCAGCCAGTCACTGGTTGTAGCTGTGCTCCTGGGTTTCAGGCTGCCGAGGGGAATACCAGATGCCGAGGTGAGGGTTGACATGTCCCTGAGAAAGCATTGGCCATCCATGTGGGGATGGACCCTATTCTTGGACTCACTTCTTAAATTTCCATTTTGAACATTCTTTGCTTCCTGGGCACTCAGTTACTGGAGGGCCTTTTTTCGTCTCCCTCCCCTACCACCAGCATACTTGAGTCTTCCTCACTCTTTCTCCTAACTACATCCACTCCTTTCTGGACATGGGAGGCTGCCCAGGGATTCAGGACTGTCCTCAGATATGGGGACCTTGTTGGGGTCAGAGGACAAAGGCATCTCTATTCTTGTTCATTATGGTTCCTGGGTATTTTCACAGCCGATTATGACAGATGATGCAAGAATGTCAAATGCTGTGTTTGCTCCTCACCACTTCAATATTATCGTGGCTGTTGTATCAGCCACTATCCCTTGTTAACAAAGAAGCACACACAGACTTTTCTTCATATTTTGATCATCGTATTTCAACTGACTTGGTTTCTTTTGTAATCCTGTGTGTTTTGTGTTGTGCATTTAAAATCATTCTGAGCAGGGTGTGTGTCTGGGGTGTGGTGTCAGGGTTGATCCCTGATCTGGAGAAGGTCACCTCCTCTTATTAGAGGTGAGGTTTCCGAACTCTTGCCTTGCTTTACCCTTCGCACTTCATGCAACCTTAAGAGCAGCTGCATGTTTTTGATGCATGATTTGATGAATGCTTTCTCTCTCTCAGCCTGTGCCCAGGGCACCTTCAAGCCCCTGTCTGGGGAGGGGTCTTGCCAGCCGTGCCCAGCCAACAGCCACTCTAACACCATCGGCTCACCTGTCTGCCAGTGCCGCATCGGGTACTTCCGGGCCCGCACAGACCCCCGGGGTTCGCCTTGTACTAGTAAGTGACCACTGACCCCTGGGGTGGACCCCCATCCTAGCCCTCACCCTCCCAGGCCTTCCTTTTCTTGACCCTGGCCTGCTGGTGCCCAGCCAAGTCAGTATGGCTGCCCATCTGTCCCACTGCCCACCCCTTGCATCTGCTCCACCTCTGTCTGACTCTCTGGTCTCCTCCAGCCCCTCCATCAGCCCCGAGAAGCGTGGTTCCCCGCCTGAACGGCTCATCCCTGCGCCTGGAGTGGAGTGCCCCCCTCGAGTCAGGTGGCCGGGAGGACCTCACCTATGCACTCCGCTGCCGGGAGTGCCGTCCTGGGGGGTCCTGCACACCCTGTGGAGGAGACCTGATCTTCGACCCTGGCCCCCAGGACCTGGTGGAGCCCTGGGTGGCAATTCGTGGGCTTCGTCCTGACTTCACCTATACCTTCGAGGTCACTGCCTTGAATGGGGTATCCTCCTTAGCCACTGGGCCGGTCCCATTTGAGGCTGTGAATGTCACCACTGACCGTGAGGGTGAGACTGGAGGCTGGGGGCCACCCGTGGTCAGATGGGAGAGCTGTTGGTGGGAGAAGCCAGTGAGGCCTGAAGGAAAAAAAGGCAGAGGCTGTGGAGTGGGGCACCCAAGAAGTATGGATGGTCAGAGCTTTGGGGGCAGAAGGCAGAAAGAGAGTGAAAAAGATGCAAAGGCAGGCTTGAGAGTTGAGGATGGGGCAGAGATCCAGAAGGAATTCTTGAAACAGCTGAAGCACCAAGACAAGTGTAGCCAGCAGAAGAGTTGGGAAAAGTAAGGGACAGACCTGCCATGCAGAAGAGCCACCAACACATCCTTTCTCTTACAGTGCCACCCCCAGTGTCTGACATCCGGGTGACACGGTCATCACCCAGTAGCTTGAGCCTGGCATGGGCTGTTCCCCGGGCACCCAGTGGAGCAGTGCTGGACTATGAGGTCAAGTACCACGAGAAGGTGAGACCAGGCCCTGCCCCCAGGGGTGGGGGTGGGCAGTGGGACAGGCTCTGTGGGCAGGACACTTGAATTGCAGGCACTTGAATTTCAGCTCTGCCACTTACTAGCTGTGTGACTTTGGGCCAGCCCTTTCACATCACCAAGCTCAGTATCCCCATCTGTAAAATAGTTGTGGTAATGGTACAAACCCCACAGAATTGCTGCAAGGATTAAATTAGTCAATAAATGCAAAATGCTCAGCATAGTACAAATAAATGATCACAGAGTCCTCACCTGCCACGCAGCAGGACCGAGATGCTAGTGATAGGGACGCAGGGCAGGAGGAGGCAGGAAGAGCATTGGAAATGGGGGGGCCTCAACTTATGCCTAGCCCCTCCTCCTGGACAGGGTGCAGAGGGCCCCAGCAGTGTGCGGTTCCTGAAGACGTCAGAAAACCGTGCAGAGCTGCGGGGGCTGAAGCGAGGAGCTAGCTACCTGGTCCAGGTGCGGGCACGCTCTGAGGCTGGCTATGGACCCTTCGGCCCGGAGCACCATAGCCAGACCCAGCTGGATGGTGAGCTTGGGGAGCAGGGCATGGGTGGGCAATGCTGCCCCTGAAGGACCCCCAAAATCACACCCTCATGCTCCTCTTCATCTCAACCTCGAGGCATTTTGGCCTGGTGAGGAGTGCATAGGATGCAGAAACCCAAACCAACAGCTGGGTGTGAAGGCCTGTCAGCGGCCTTCCAGCTATGTGACCTTTAGCAGAAACTTGACCCCTGAGCCCAGCTCTCATCCAAAGAAACCAGAAAATACAAGGTCTGTCTCACAGGGCTCCAAGGATTAAATGAAGTGACACCTGTTAGTTGTAATATGCTGGCCCAGTGGTTTTCTAAACCTTTTAATTTTTTTTTTTTAATTTTTTATTGGGGAACAGCCATGGTCATTGGTTACACATTGCTTTCATGCTACAATAGCATAGTTGAACAATTTTATTGACTTATGATTCATATACCATACGACTCACCCGTTTAAAGTGTACAATTTGTTGGCTTTTAATATATTCACAGAGTTGTGCAACCACCGCCACAATTAAATTTAGAACATTTCAGCACTCCCTAAAGAGACAGTATACCCCTCCCATCACTCCCCAACCCTGCAAATACTAATCTACTTCCTGTCTCTGGATCAGCCTATTTTAGACATTTCATACAAATGGAATCATACAATATGTGGTCTTTGGTGACTGGCTTCTTCTTTCACTTGCCATGTTTTCAAGGTTCATCCATGTAGCACGTATTAGTGCTTCGTTCCTTTTATGGCTGAAAAATATTTCACTATATGGCTGTAGTACATTTTATTTATCCATTCATCCATTGATAGACATTTGGGGGTTTTCCACTTTGGGGCTATTAACGCTTTCATTTTTATTTAGCCTTTGGAACCATTTGTTCAAATGAGACTTTTTGTGGTCACCAGAATTTATAACAGAATAAGATCAAACCCACTCTGGCAGTAATAAGGCTGGGAAACTTTCTCCCTTGCTCTGAGGGGTCCCAGAGGGGCCCACAGCCTGTGGAAAGAAATTTGAAAACCACTGTGTTTCCCCGACCCTGCCTTTCCTTTGCCTTTTCCCACCTGCCACACTGTTCTCAGGGGGACCACAGCTCATTCATGAGGCTGGTGCGGGGCCCCCAGGGGTTGTCGGGTTTTCCTGATGTTTTTTCTCCCCCAGAGAATGAGAGCTGGCGGGAGCAGCTGGCCCTGATTGCAGGCACTGCGGTCGTGGGTGTGGTGCTGGTCCTGGTAGTCATCGTCATTGCCATTCTCTGCCTCAGGTGAGGACTCCAGGCACCTCTTGCTCCAGGGCAAGCCTCGCTCGATGCCCCAGGAGTCTGTTTTCACTTGGAATCTTCTCCGATCCCTGCTCCTCTCTTCCCATCCTGTTCCTCTGGGAACATAGATATGTGACTCGGTTTACCTTTTCTTCCCCATTGGCTACAGGAAGCAGAGCAGTGGGAGAGAAGCTGAATACTCAGACAAACACGGACAGTATCTCATCGGGCATGGTGAGTAGGCCTATCCTGAAGGAAACAGGACCGGGCGAGGCTGTGAGCCAAGAATTAAGGGCATCTGAATGCTGGGCAAGTTACTTGGCTAATGGACCCTTCATGATTCTTCAGGTACTAAGGTCTACATTGACCCCTTCACTTACGAAGACCCTAATGAGGCTGTAAGGGAATTTGCAAAAGAGATTGATGTCTCCTATGTCAAGATTGAAGAGGTGATTGGCGCAGGTGAGAGGAAAGATCCCTGGGTGCCCAAGAGGGGAATGGGCTGGGCAGGGAAGGCAGGGCCAACAGGAAAGTGGACCCTTGGCATCCTTCCTACAGGCGAGTTTGGGGAGGTGTGCCGGGGGCGGCTCAAGGCCCCAGGGAAGAAGGAGAGCTGTGTGGCCATCAAGACCCTGAAGGGCGGCTACACGGAGCGGCAGCGGCGGGAGTTCCTGAGTGAGGCCTCCATCATGGGCCAGTTCGAGCACCCCAACATCATCCGTCTGGAGGGTGTGGTCACCAACAGTGTGCCCGTCATGATCCTCACTGAGTTTATGGAGAACGGTGCTCTGGATTCCTTCCTGCGGGTGAGCCCCCCGGCCCCCAGCCTCGCGCATCCACCTGCGCTCCACCTGTCCTCTCCCGGCGCAGCCAAGGAGCTCAGAACCCAGGACAGACTGTGGGTCCCACATCACTCTCCCTCCGCCCTTCATTCTCCATTCAGAAAAAGTTGAGTTTCTGGGACTGGCCCTTCCTTAGGCCATAGGTGGAGGAACTGGCCTCTGTGAGGCAGCTGACCCTGACACTATGGAAGGGCCAGTCCCAGAAACTCAACTTTTAAACAGGGTTATGGGAAAGTGGCTGGTGATGAGGGAAAAGAGCTTATTTTATTTTTGTGACTTTAACAAGCTTTATTGAACTTTGTTATTTTGTTAACTTTATGATGCATTTTTTTTTAAATCAAAATATTTTCCTACGTAGCAAAATAACAGTGCATTTAATAAAGTTACAGCAATTCCTTGGCATCCGCTAATACCCAGTCAGTACCCATATTTCCCTAATTGTCCCCCAAATATCCCTTACTGTTATTTTATCCAAACCGCCATCCATTTCAGAGTCAAGCAGTAGGTACTGAGTATCATTTTTAAGCTCTTCTGAGCCCAGGAGAGTCCCTTGTCCATGACCCTATCATTTTGACGAGCTGGGCTATGTGTCCCCTTGAATGCTTCATCTTGTGGATTTATCAGATTCTTCCCTGTGGGGTCATTTAGCTGGTTTCTCCTGTAAGAGAAGTTATGTCTTTTATTTTGATAACACTCAAAATTAAGCATTGGTGCCCAGCCTACATTGATGGGTGCTGTGAACTTCACATGGCATCTCATCAGGAGAGACGGGCCACCTGGCTCCCACCATGAGTCATGCTGAGTTGACCTGGAGTAGTGCAATGACCTGCCCCTCCCTGTGGACACTGGCGTCTGTTCCATTGGTACTGGACAGAAATCCCGTGCAGGGAGGGGAAGGGGCTCTGTTAGAGATGACTTTTGGGTAGATGGGAAAGAGCCAGCCTTGAGAAGACAGGGAGAGAAGGGTGTTGGGGGCAGAGAGTAGAGACCAGAGTGGGCAGGAACGCGGCATGTTCAAAAGGCAGGAAGGCAGGTGAGGGCTGAACCCAGGGAGCAGAGAGGCCATGGTGGAGCCTGATGTAGGTAGTGGCCAGGACACATGGGCCTCGTGACCTTTATCAGGAATTTGGATTTGATTAGAAGTTCAAGGGGAAGCCTTTGGAAGGATTTCAGTAGGCGTGTGAGGTGGTGATTCAAGGGGATTCCTTGGATGGGTGCTGCGGAATAGGAGCAGAAAAAAGCCAGGAGCCAATGAGGAGACTTGCAGTCATTCATGCCATGAGGGTTGCAGTGGGGTGTGGAGAAATGGTTGGATTTGGGATATGTTTTGGAAGCAGGGCCACCAGAACTTGCTAATGGATTGTAAGTTGGAGGGTGAGGGAGAGAAAGGAAGGAATCACAGAGGCCCTAGGTTCACATCCTGAGTATCTGGCAAGTGCTGTTTCCACAAACTGAGATTCAAGACCTGGGGTAGGTGCAGGCTTGGAGGATGGATTCGGATTTAAGTTTTTGGACTCTGTGTCCCTGGCCCTACAGGGCTGCCAAGGGTCCCCTGCATGCTAGCTGAACACAGAAGATGGGATTAGTTAACCATCCATGACTGGTTGGCTTACCTGGTAAGAGCAAAATGTAAAGGTCAAGGTCGAGATGTAAACCTTGGTTTTGGTTCTGTGGTCACTGATCATACCTGGATTCCTCACTGTTCTCTCAGTTGGTCCAAGAGGGCTGAGCGTGATTTCGGCTGGATCAGCACAAAAGCATCTCCACCAGACAGGTAGCTCAGAGCACACTATTATTAGAACTCTGTTGCTGTTGGGTAAAAAATATATTAGATCAAAAGCATTTGTTGAGTATTTTCTGGGTGTAAAGCCCCATACTAGGTTAAATGGAAGAAAACCTTGAAATCTGTCCTTACAATCTAAGTAAGAGAATGAATGCATATATTTGAAACAGGAACAGTGATAAGCATTGTGTCATGATAGTGTAGTAAGAGCTAGAGAACTTAGGTTAAGAGAAAGTAGGAGGACTTATCTGGGAAGTCTATGGGACTGCTCTACAGGTAAGTGTGAGATGGGTCTGGAAGTGCCAAATGCGATTTAGAACGTGGAAGGAGGGGAGACTGGAGGGTGAGCTGTCCTAACCATGCCCCTCTCCCTTGTCTGGTCTCCAGCTGAATGACGGACAGTTCACTGTCATCCAGCTGGTGGGCATGTTACGGGGCATTGCCTCGGGCATGCGGTACCTTGCTGAGATGAGCTACGTCCACCGAGACCTGGCTGCACGCAACATCCTGGTCAATAGCAACCTTGTTTGCAAGGTTTCTGACTTTGGCCTTTCCCGATTCCTGGAGGAGAACTCTTCTGACCCCACCTACACAAGCTCTCTGGTGAGGCTGGAGGACTGACATAGGAACTAGGAAGGTTGGAAAGGTGGGAGGCTAGGGGTTTGACAGCTCTGATTCAGGGACAGGATATAGGAGCAGACCACAGAGGGGGTGGTCAGCTTATGGAACCCATTTTCTGGTTGTCCAGGAAAAGAAGAGTTGAGGAGCTGGACCCAGAAAGAAAAGGCTTGAGCTGGGGGAAAGGCGAAGGCCAGGATCAGAGTGCCTGGGTCCTGTGAGACTCTCAGCTCAGCTTTGCTTTCCTCATCTTTAGGGAGGAAAGATTCCCATTCGATGGACAGCCCCTGAGGCCATCGCCTTCCGGAAGTTCACATCTGCCAGTGATGCCTGGAGCTACGGGATTGTGATGTGGGAGGTCATGTCATTTGGGGAACGGCCATACTGGGATATGAGCAATCAGGATGTAAGTGTCCCACAGTCCTACCAAGCTTTCTTGGAATGGTCTTACCTGGGATATAGCGATATAGGGTGGGATTCCCAGAGAGCTCATCGCTGCTGTTTCCTTGAAATGATGAGGGTAGCGCAAAGAAAAGTTGATATTTGTACTAAGAGTTTGATACAATATGTCTAGTCAAGAAGGACACAGGGATGGAAGGCCAGTTGGGATGTTACACATCTGGATCATAGCCCAAATGCTGCTGGGGCATTGAGCCAGAGCCAACCTGGGCCCTACCCAGGAGAGCCCCCCATATTTACCACTCGGGGGCTGTAGCACTCATCCCAGCATCTGCTAAGTTGCCGTTTCCTTGGTCTCCTTTGGCATCCTCATTCTCCCTGGACAGCCTCACCCAGTGTTTCTGTCATTCCAGGTGATCAATGCCATTGAACAGGACTACCGGCTGCCCCCTCCCCCAGACTGCCCCACGTCCCTGCACCAGCTCATGCTGGACTGTTGGCAGAAGGACCGGAATGCACGGCCCCGCTTCCCCCAGGTGGTCAGCGCTCTCGACAAGATGATCCGGAACCCTGCCAGCCTCAAAATTGTAGCCAGGGAGAATGGCGGGTAAGAATGGGTCCTCCTTCCTACACTCTGCCATCCCTACACCCGAGAACCTCCCTTCCCCCCTAAAAGTATCTGCCCTGTTGGTGTGGATTATCCCTGTCGGCCTCTCCAAGGCTGGGCTCAGTATCCCCACCCTGACACAGCCCGGGTACTCAGTGCGTCCTCCTCATCCTTGCCTCCCAGGGCCTCACACCCACTCCTGGATCAGCGGCAGCCTCACTACTCAGCTTTTGGCTCTGTGGGTGAGTGGCTTCGAGCCATCAAGATGGGAAGATATGAAGAAAGCTTTGCAGCTGCTGGGTTTGGCTCCTTCGAGCTGGTCAGCCAGATCTCCGCTGAGTAAGTTGTGGCAGGAGTTGAAGGTAGGGGTCAGAGCTAAGTAGTCAGAGGGGCACCTGGGGATCTGAATCTGGCCCACAGGTTCAGCAGGGGCCTTTGGGGTCAGCTCCTGGTGTCAGCTGTTTTCTATAGCTGCCCCTACCCCCCAAAGCAATAACAGCTGTTGGGGGTGAGAGCCCAGGGAATCTTCCAGGCCAGCTGTGCCTGCCTCACCCCCTTGCACCGTCTCAGCCCTGGGCCATCTTGCTGTCCGCCTGATAATCTGTATCTATCTTTGTGCATCTATCTACATTCCAGACACTGCTCTCACATTAACAATGTGTCAGCTCTGGATGTTTTCCCACCCATAAAAGGAGAAGATTGGACTAGGTTTTGGAGAACCTTTCCAGCTTTAATGTTAAATGGTTTTAATGATTCCAATGCTTCCCAAATACTGTTTTTCCCTAGTTGGCCTCTCTCTGGTACTTCTCCTTTCTGCCTTCCCATTTCTCTCCCAAGGCCTCTTCTGGCCCCAGATTTGAATAACAGGAATAGAAGGAATAGACATCTGGAACCAGGGCCCAGGAAGCCCTCTCCCTGGTGGGGCAGGTCACAGGCCAGCCTGCTCCACTGGGCCTGGGTGCTCTCCTCCCAAACAGCTCCAGCCCCGCTTTGACACAGGTTCTTGCTCTCCATTTCCCACCTCTTCTTTTTTTTTCTCTTATCTCAGTCTCCAGGTGTCAGGATGGAGGGGGAAGGGGAGGCAGTTTGTTTACCCATCTTCCCTCCCTTTCCTCTCCACCCAGCCCTTCCTCTCTCTGGCCTTTTTCTTCTGACTTCTCCTTTCTTCTCTCAAGCAATCTGTGCAGCCCCTTCCCCCAACCTCATTTTGTGGGTTTTTCTCTCTCTTTTGTCCTTCCCTTCTCCAGTTCTCCACCTTAATCCTTGCTGGAACATCCAAGCTGCAGCCCCTACCTCCCACCTCTTGCCTCTCTGCCTCTCTACTCAGCCCCCTCAGCCCGGCCTGCGGCCTGCTGGATACCTAGCCCCAACCCCTACTGCGGCTGCACGGCTGCACAGACTGCGGCCTGGCTTGTAAATCCTCTGGAAACTGCCCTGCAACTATGACATGTGCTTCACTCCCACGCTGGCCTTCCTGATTGGCTGACAGTCCTGAGGCAGTGACCAGGTTTTTGCAGCTAAGCTAGGAGAGCTGCCCCAAGAGCTCTTTGGCCTCACCTAGCTCTCCGATCTTCCCCAGGGACCTGCTCCGAATTGGAGTCACTCTGGCAGGACACCAGAAGAAAATCCTGGCCAGTGTACAGCACATGAAGTCCCAAGCCAAACCTGGAGCACCGGGTGGGTCAGGAGCACCAGCCCCCCAGTACTGACCTGCACCTCCGTGCCTGGCCCCACAGCTCTGGAGCTGCAGGAATTCCTGCGCCGGGGACACAGCTCCCCTTTTTTGGGCAGAGTTGGGTGGGGACCCAAGAGGCCCCATCCCTGCGCCCCACTGGATTGCACTTTTGAACCCATGGGGGTGGGGAGCTGGCAATTTGGAGAGACTGGATTTGGGGATTCTACCACGTGGGAGTGTAGAAATAACATGCCCCCCAGGTGGGGAACCCCACACCAAGAGTGTAGGACCGCTTCCCTCAGGATTGGGTGTGACCAGAGGGAAAGGAAGCACCCGTAATCTGTCAACTTCCCAGGGGTGGTGGGTACAATCCCCACAGCCTCCCTCTGATCCCCAATTAGGGCCCCCAGGTGCCTCTCCTCACCTTGAAGGGTCACAGCCCTGCAGACCTTGCAGACCAAAGAGAAGAGGGTGACAAGCCTGCGAGAGCTCGGGAGTGGAGCGCTGTGGCAGGAGGCAGGAAGGGGTGTCATGGCTCAGTGACAAAATCATTGGACTTGGATGTCCCAACCTTGCTGCTGTCTCCACCGAACTCAGTTTTCCCTTGTAAATGCCCCTCCCCCCATCAGCTGCCTTCATATTGAAGGTTTTTGAGTTTTATTTTTTGTTTTTGGTCTTATTTTTCCTTCCCTTTTTCCCCCTCCCGTTTTTGTTTTTTATCGTCCTTGTCATAACTTTATGTTGGAGGGGACCTGTTTCATTACCGCCTCCTTTGCCCACATTGAAACAGGGACCCATCCTTGTGTCTATTTCCAGAAGAGTGCCTTGGTCATGCCACAACCTCCAGACATTTCCCTGCCCCAACAAGTACCCCCAAGCTGTGTCCATGAGGGTGTGTGTGTGTGTAGGGGGGGGTGAGGTGGTGGTGGAAACCAGAGACAGACACCGGTGCTTGGAGGGGTTCTTAAATTATATTTAAAACAATTTTTTTTTGTATAAATAAAAAAAAAAGGGGGAAATGTCACATCTCTGAGTGTGATTGGGAGTGGAGGATGGAACAAACTTCTAAGGAAAAGGGAGTCTAGGTATGGAGGGGTGGGAGGCCTAGAGACCAGGCTGTGGGGGGCTGGGTGTTTAGTTCCTAGCCCCAGGGTGTGTTTGAGGTGGTGGGGTGGGGGCAGTGGGAGATGAGTCAGTGGCAGCTGCTTCTAATGGCTCCAGATGGCTCTGCCAAGAGCCTGGGGCACCTCCAGGGTGGGGCTGCCCCCTCACTCCTCTGCCCTGGGTTCCCTAGCCCTGGGAGGGGGTTGTGTGAGGTAGGGGAGGCCTTGAACTCACAGCTCTGCCCTACAGCCCCCCTGAAGTGTGTGTGTGGGGCATCCACTGGGGTGGGGGTTCAGTCAGATGAAGCCAACAGATGTAGACCAGATTTTGACAGCTGAGGTTGGTTTAAAGGCAAAGAGGGGAGAGGAATGTCTGCATTGGCAGTGGGGGAGGGTCAGAGCTGGGTGGAGGACTAGGCCCCCCACGTATGTACACAGGCTGGGCTGGGTCAGGATGACAATTCCCCTTTTCAGGATGCTGCCCAGGCAGGTTCTCCCAGCCTCTTGGGAAGGGGAGGGGGAAACCACCTGAATGTCTTCCCCCCACTTCTCCCTCTGAAACAGGAAGATGAAGATGGGGTCAATCCCCGTTGTCTTTTTCACTGTCTTCTGTTTCCTTCTTCGCCCCCAATCAGCCTTCCTTCTGGGACACCTGCAGGGGAAGCCCCAGATGGGGCCAGCTTTGTTTAGCTGGAGCAGCCCTGCCATTTCTGTTGTCTCAGTTGCCCCCTGTTGTCGTGTTGGGGTTGGTGCAGGGCCCTAAATTACAGCCTCTACCCTTCCCAGCCCAGGAAGCCTCAGGCAGTAATCCCGTCCCCAATTTCCTACCTGTACAAGCCTCTTTTCGAGTCCCTAATACTCTGGAATCCTCTGTCACCTCCCTTGATGACCTATTGCCTATATTTTGTACCTTTAAGAGGAGGAGGGAGGGACTCGGTCTTGCCAAGGACAGGGGATCTGGGTCCAGAAGGAGGAAGTCTATCCGGAGGATGCCTGCCCAGCCTACCCTCTTCCCCTGCCAACCAGACATCGGGCTAGATAATGTGACCACAGCTGGCCAGGGGAAGAACAGAGGTCAAGGGAGCAGCGCATAGATGAAGAACACCAAAGGGTTAAAGACCAGGTGAAGGTCTGGGCAGGTGTGCAGCAGGAACCCCCTTAATGCCCAGGTTAAAGCATGGTCAGCCCAGTTCTAGAGCCCCTGAGCCCACCTGCCACACCCAGCTTGAGTGTGAGCTATGGCCCCCCCCCTCCGCCAGCAAAGGGGTAGAGTGGGTTAGGCAGTGTCATTCTCCACCCAAGTTAGGTCTCACTTCCTTAAAAGAAGGTGGCTGCAAGGCTGGCCATCTTGGAGAATAAGCAGAGTAAGGATACCTTTCTAGAACCCAGAGTGCTACCTGATTTGGCATCCCCAAACCCAAATCTCCTGTCCTTTGGGGTCCTATATCCTGACCGCTGACCGCTCCCCGGCTCCCTCCCCAGTTGGTAGCCTTCTTAGAATTCAAACAAAGTGTCCCAGCCCCTTCCTTAAAATATGGACCTGCCCAGTGGGAAGCACCAGGCAGGGGAGGGGTCAGAATGTTTGCCCTTTGACCTCAGACTGAGGTGAGCAGGTCACTCCTACTGGGTTGGAAATCCATAGACTCCTCAGCTAAAGGCCCCAGACCTCACCCTCATTTGCCGTAGTAATCCTTAAGCCCTTTTGGGAAATGGATGGGAACAGAAGGTGGGGGCCAGTTCACCCTTTGAAAAAAGCCACATTCCCCATCCTTAACCTCTGCCCAGTGAATTGTCTCATCATCAGAAATGCCAGACTCCTCCCTCAGTCACCTTTCACTACCCTTGGTGGGGCGCATAGAGGCCATATCCTCTGAAAAAGAGGATTCTTTCTCTTTTCTTGAAAGGGGAAAGTGGGAAAAGTGGTCTTTTCTCCTGTATTTCAGAAGCCAGAGGGCTGACGACCCACCCCTATGTGGCTCTGCCCCTCTCCTCTGGACATTTTGTGGGGCACTGAGCCCTAGGCCCCCCCACAACTGTCTCCCTCCTACAAGCATTTCTCCCCTGCAAAATCCACCTCACAGACCTTTCCTCCACCATGATCATGTGGAAATTCACATCTCAAAAATAAATTATTTTATTTCTCCCTTTTTGAAGACAATTCAAAACTGAGTGACTTTGAAGGCAGGCTCTGGAACAAAATCTGAGAACATGAGAAAAG